TTCAAGGGAAGGAAAACCTTTGGCGCCGCTTCTGCATCTGCTTCTGGCAGCGGCTCAAGGCAGACTCAGTGCTCAAGCGTCAGACTCTGTTCCCTGCGCCTTAGGTGCAGAACACTGGACCGCATGCAGCACTCCCATATCAAATTCCACGCATTTAACATTAGATACAATTGCATTTTGTCTCTAAGTCTTTACTGCTTTAAATTCCCCACTCTCACAGTCTGCCTGGCTTTTGTGCTGGGCCTTGTTCCCTTCTCTCTCTGTCTCTGTGTCTGCCTCTGTCTCTGTCTCTGTGTCTGTCTGTCTGTCTGTCTGTCTCTCTCGGTCTCTCTCTCCAGCAGTGGTAATAAGTTCTATCATGTTCTGTTCTCTTTGATTTACTTTTCCCATCTTGTTTACCTTACTTAACAAGTAACTGAATTCTCTTCCAGCTCCGTCTGGCCTTTCCTTGAATCCCGTGTTCCTTTTTGCTCCGTGGTCTGTGCTGCCCCCCGAATGGCACTTAAGTGCTGCAATACAGTAATGTCACCTATACTTTCTTCTGATCTTGCTCCTTGCATCCATAGAAGCCTTTTATTTCTCTGACTGTCTAAGACTTAGTTAGTTTGAACCTAGAAATTGGTCCATGGGATTCATAGAACTTTTTAAAATCTCCCAGTCTTTTTGTATCAAATTATAAGACATTTATCCAGCACCTTCTCTGTTTGTTACCAGGTTTAATGGGTTTCAAATTAAGTATGTCAAGGAAGGAGCTACTGATAAGATAGTGCAAGACACATTTCAGACAGACAAATGTGAACCAAATCAAATCAGATCAACACCCTAAAAGACTTGTAAATTTGAGGCCAATCACTGCAGTTTTATCAGAAATGAGGACAAACTGGACTTTACATGCTTCTGCACTTCTCAGTGAGGTCAACATACAGTGAGGTACACTGTGGACATGTCATCCCACCCAGACACGTGGACATAGCCATAGCATTGTCAGCTATGTGCCAAGTATGTGCTGTACAGTGTTTTACCTGCATTTCCTGTGATCCTAATGGCCTCACAAGTTCGGCATGTTAACTTCATTTTACAGATGAAGAAGCTGACTCTCAAAGTGGTCCTGTAAAGTAACATTCCTACGCTGACAGCCAGCAAGTTGCAGGGCCAGAGTTCATAGCCAGAAATAACTAAAAAGCCTGCACACTATTCCCCACTCATTGCCTGCCCAATTCCTATGGAATACATACTTGTGATATCATCTCCAATTATTCTCGCAGAACTCAGAGTGGAAGACAGTGCTTATCCACAGATGGTGCTAGACATACGGTTATCACTGAGATTTCAAATAACCCATCCCAGATACTTGAGGTTCCCTACTTGATATGTGTTCTCTGCAACTTTGCCAGAAACACCCCGATTCTACCTTTTGCTTATCAATTATATCGATGGCCTACTTGCAAAGGGCTAACAGGCAAGCTTCCGCAATATGTGAGGCTTGGCTTTTAATGAGTGTCCATGCGGCCTCCTGCGCACACAGTCACTAAGCAACGTATCCACCTTCGTTTGCACAGGGCCTCACCTGCAAGGCCCCATTAGCACTAATGGGTTGTTTCCCTTCTATCGCTCCAAGAATCAAAAGGAGAAGCTGCATTTTTGATGAGGTGGTAATGGCACATATGGACAACACCACTTAAGAGGTGCCTTTGTTGTCCTCACGTGGCAGCCCACCAAGGGACTTCAGACACCGTCCTCATGTGAGGAGCTCACAAAGACCCAGGAAGACCGTACTAAGTGGTGGTGCTAAGCACCTCTTCAGTCTAAGAGTAAAAATGAGCCCCTATTTATAAAGCCAAGCTCACTTGCTTTGGTATGCTTGTTGAGGTTTGCACCCTGCGTTGCTTGAACTGATTTTTTTTTTTTTTCTCTTTAGCAACATACAGGAAAGATTACTACTTCCCTCAATAAGCTCTAAAAAGTTGTCAGGCGGTACTTTGGCTGATAGGAAAACAGGAAGTGGGAGAAGAAGGAAGGAAATGCATTTCACAATTGGCACTCTCTCTATGGGACACATTATCATTATGCTTTTCTGTTCTTTTATTGTAACCTTAATCTGTCAAATGGATGTAGTATTTATTGGGCTCCTGTTGCTCTTAAGCCTGATACCAGGCACTGTGGGAGAATGTGAAACCGAAGACTTACTCTCTGTCATTCCAGGAAGCTGAAATCAGAAAGCGGAAGGCTGACAATCGAATACCTAGCATTTGATACGAAACTTTCAGTACCGGTTCTACATCTGAAAAGCTTGAAGCAGTGCTAAGAAGTCTTCATTAATTTCCTATCATTCTCTAACATTACATACACTAGGCCGGAAGGAGAACTAAAAAAAAAAAAAAAAATTTAAGAAATTTAGTGAAAGAGAAGAATGTAGGGAGCACATACCCGAGTTGAAATTTGACAAGTCAAAGTATAAATCCTAACTGACATTCTCTGATGTGGACAAAGGTAACTCAGTTTTTCGTCTATAACTCACCTTGGTTTCTATTTTGAACTCTGATTCTTAGAGTTAGTGAAAATATAATCTCAGGCAATTTTAGTTCCCACCTTCCCCTGGAGTTAAGTCTAAATTGCTGGCAGTGGGGGTTAGAAGTTTCCACTGTACCAGTTTTTTGAGGAGGCACAGGGGGAGGGAGCATGGAAGTGGGCCTCAAATGCTCCGTGGTCACAGTTCAGGGGTCCACTAAATTGCTCCCCCAGCTTTTTGTTCTTAAATGCATGCCCTCTTCCAGTCAGACTTTTTCTACTGTTTCTGGGGCATTTGGAAATTGTTCTATGCCCTCTCACCCAGGGGAGGAGACAGTTTTCTGAGGCTGTGTCTGCTGCCAGCCAGTCTAACTCTACCACACAGCCAGTTCCCCTCAAGAATCTCTGCTGCCTCCCCCTGGCCTGAGGAAGCGCTGAGTTCCATCGGCCCCTGTACCTCCTTCAGGTTCTGACACCAAGCCTGGGCTCCTGAATGGGAAGCTGTGCCCTCCGTGGGGAACTCAGCAATCACGGCTGTGCTCCTCCACCTTACCTTCCGCTTGCCCAGATGGGGTGCAGGAAAGCTTTACTTCCCACTTGTAAATGCCCACGTCTTTTGTCTACTGTCTTCCTTCAAGGGTCTAGACTCTTCAGATTTAGACAGAAAGCTAATTTATATCTTCGTGAGCCATAACTGTCTTCTGAGGCAAGTGTAATACAATGGCTTAAAGCTTGAGTGAGAGGGAAGGCAAAAGAGTGGAAATACGGAGAACAAAATCAGATATCATAGTACCCAGGCCAAAACCACGCTATGTTTTAAGATTAAGGATGATGCTTGGTAGTCAGTAAACCTTAATTTTATTTAAGTGATGAGGGAGGTAACAACATCTGCTACTTTCAATCAGAATCGTAGAGGATCGATGACATCCTAGAATAATGTAGCTTCAGTTAGTAGGTTAAGGGACCACAAATCCTATTCTGCAACACTCAATGAAATTGATAGAGCCCTGTGACTGCTCTGTCTTTCTGTTTCACTAGTCTCACAGATAGAATTCTGGTCTGTGGTTTCAGGTCTGTGGTTTGGTCCTACCCTGCTTATGTGCAAAGAAGTTAGCTTCCCGAGTGCTGGCAGAACAGAGATTTCTGGGTCAAAGTCCAAGGACTTTGCACTCACACCTTGACAAATAGCACGCATATCAATTCTCTCTTTTTTCAGGTCTCATGCAGACAACATGAGGTGTCCGGGTGAACATGAGAAATGCAGGGTTTTGTGCTATGTGGGAAAAAGTGTGCCAAGTGACGTAAGATTGTACAGAATGATTAGTAGGAGAGAGTAACTACAAATGACAGCTAAAGGTTGATGTGTCTGAAAAGAATATGTCACCACAACTTGTACACAGGAGCAGTGTTTTACAGAATGGAAGTTATCCTCTTACACTGATTGTACTAGAGTCTAACACTTACACCTGCTGAGTGCCCTTCAGATGCAGTGAAAGCTGCAGTAGGAAAAGGGACAGAATCACGAATGAAGTGCATTTGTTTTACATTGGTGAACCATAAAGCTGGCAAATCAAGCTGGCAAATCCTTAACCATAAAGCTGGCAAATCCTCAACCCACAGATGACAAAGCTAAGCAAAGTGTTCCATTAGAACTTGTGAGGATACATAGTTAAGAAGAAAACTTGCAAACCAGCATTAAGAGTTGAAAGTAGTATAGAGGACATAATCTTCAGGTACATGTAGACTGTTAGGGGAGTGGGTTAGTGAACAGGATATACGAACTAGTATAATGGGCTTGCACGCAGTTTAGAAGGCAAATTTAGCCACTAGAGAGAACATGAACCTCTGATGAGCTGAAGTTTCTAAGTTCTCTAAGCAGAAGGTTAGCTTAGTGAGAGGGCTATGGGCTGCGTGTCTGCTGTGTATTCTCCTCTGATGTCGCTTCCTGTGTGTTATCCCCCTTAATCCTCATAGCAGCCCTGCCAGGTAGGAATTTTTGGTTCTATTTTGAAAGGATACTAATGGTCGGAGACAATGCAGTTGGTAAATAACTGGGATTTGATTTCCATTTTTTCTTTCTTGCTTGCTTGCTTACTTGCTTGCTTTCTTGCTTTCTTGCTTTCCTTCTTTCTTACTTGCTTTCTTGCTCTCTTTCTTTCTTTTTTTCTTTCAGACAGGGTCTGGGTATCTGGTTCTGGCTTTGAACTCACCATGTAGCCCAGGCTGACTGATTGTCTCAGCCTCCCAAGTGCTGGGATTGCAGGCATGTGCCGTCATGCCTGGCCATTTGAGTTCCATTCTCCAGGAACTTCTAGGGTTAATGTATTATTCAAACATTTCTAATAGTTTATACTTTTAGGAAAACAATGCTCCATACATTTAATTTTTTGTTAATTTAATAAAAGGTAAACCTCCCTCCTTTCTCTCCCCCTCACGGTGTGCTAAAGCCAATGAGATGCTGCTTTTGTGACATGCGTGTGATCTCCCCACAGGTGACTTGTACATAGGAGGAGTGGCTAAAGAAACCTACAAATCCTTGCCAAAGCTCGTCCATGCCAAGGAGGGCTTTCAGGGCTGCCTGGCCTCCGTTGACCTGAATGGACGGCTCCCGGACCTCATCTCAGACGCTCTCTTCTGCAATGGCCAGATTGAGAGGGGATGCGAAGGTACGGAGTCCTCATCATCACACTGTTGAAAGTTCCCATTCCTCCTGCATGTAGGAGCTGATTTCACTGCTGAGCCACATTCCACTGACCAGTGGAATTCCCACTTCAGATCTAGAAGTCCTTCTTCCTGTTTCACACTTTTCATCCCCCAAGTAGGGGTTGTTTGCTGGGCGACATGCAGGTCTCATGTGAGGTGGGAGGGGCGTCTGTGGCTCCTGCTCCTTTTGGCTTCTTTGCATCTGCGGTCTACCTGATGTGTGTGTGTGTACGTGTGTGTGCGTGTGTGTGAGTGTGTGTGTGTGTCAATCAGTTCTGCAGTGTGTGCTTTATAGCATTACAGAGATACCCCACTTAATGTAGAAAATACATTTATGCAGTATTAGCCAGTTGGGCCCATTATTTAAAATCTGCAGTCAATGGGATATAAAGTGAAAGTAAGTTCTGTTACCCCATTTTGGAATCACTTTTTGATTTGAACGTACCTGCCAGCAAGTATGTATCCAGTATATTACCTGTTTTGGCAAAAATAGGTTCATATATTATTCAAGGCTAATATTCCACACTTCAGAATTACATTTAAATACCCTCCCTTCTACCAGACCAAGATCTGTAGGAGTATTTTCTTTTTATTTTAAAGAGGAAAAATATAACAATAAAACAGAGCTTTAAAACAGGTTAGTAGAGAGTTACAATAATTAATACATTCTATATTGTTGTCTTAGTAGTAGTTATTCAGAGTAATAGGAATAGTTTTGATATTTACTTTTATTTTAGATAAGTTTCTCTTTAACACCTTAGATTATTTGGGCCAATTCTCCCTCCATACATGTAATTTAATGACATTATCCCGAGTCGTGTTGCTTTTCCTTTAATGTTGAACTTGGTCCGTTTTGAAAAATTTTGATTCATAAGGAAATTTTATGTAGGAGAAGAAGAAACAAATGTGAATTCCTGTCCCCCAGGAGATTATGAATCATGTCTTCTCAGCCAAAATATTGATGTTATATTTAGCAGTTACTTAACTACATGGACTTTTTAATTTGAAAATATATTTTTTCTCTCTCTGAAGCATCTGTTTCTCTAAAAAGTTAGGTGAAATTCAAACTTTGCTGAAATAATACAGGAAGATATACATACTAATGGAATTCACCATTGAATTCATTTTCTAGTGTCATATTTATTCTCTTTAGTTCAAACCTTGATATATGCTTTTGTAAAACAACGAGAAATTATGTGTCTTCTCCTGCCAGTTTAGTAAAGGAAATAAAATGATTAAGTGAATAATTTCCTCTAGTAGATGGGTATAAGAATGTGGTATATAAGTTTAGTTCTTAAAAATGATCTAAGTAGCTAGAATATACATGTATTTACCTAGCTTTTAAGGAAAACATACTAAAACCTTTTTGGAAAATCTTTTTCAAAAGTAATACTTTGTACAAGTTGTTTAGTGTTCTTTCACCTGTAAGAAACATAGGCGGATAGGCATAGTCACGGCTAAATCCCCACGATGTAGACAATAAGGCAAACACACAGGATCTTTACGGCTGACTCTCATGTTAGTGAGTGGATGGATGGGAAAGTAACTGGGAGAAAGATGGAAGTGCAGAGAGAACTTGTGATAATGCTGCTGTAATTGTTTTCCGACCTCATCTAGTAAGCAATTTGCTTATGACGATTTATCACAGATCCCCTTGGGTAGCCTTAAGCTACTGTTCATAAATTTGGACTCCTTCAGGAGATTATGGCACTGAGTCTTTTATTTCATTACATGTGAACTTTTAAATATCTGAGCTTTACTAATTCCACCGCTTTTCATCCTGTTTTTCATTAGTCGTAGAACATTACCCTGCTCCTGCCTTTCTGCCCTGATACTTCCCCAATTCCTCCATCACAGCACCAAGGTTAGCAGCGCTCAATTTAGGATTATTCCTGCCCTGGAAGTCTTCTAAGAATGATCTTCCATGCACCGGTCATAGGTCTAGCTGATGAGATTCACCTGTTTTTAGGATTGTAGATAGCTGATAAAATACCTCTCTAAAGATATCTCAAGGAAGTTGCATCTAAATCATATCAGAGTCACTTAACCTCCACATGAATAGAAAGAGTGTCAAGATTCCGTGTCATTCCTGTCCAGTAAGACGCACAAATCTCTAAGCTTCTGGCATGCAAAAGAGTCTTTGACCTTCCCTCAATAATCACTCGCTACATTTTACTGTCAGCATGTTTCAGTGGGCAATAGTTGATTTTATTTATAAAATACATTGCACCTAGATTAATATTTCTCAAGCTTTAGCCTTTATCAGAATCACCTGATGCACTGCTAAAACTCACATTACTGATACTACCAGCAGGGCTTTGACACCGTGGGTCTGAGATAAGGACCTAGAATTTATGTCTAACAAGTGCAAGTGGTACTGACACCGTGTGCCCCATGCTTTGACAATTACTACCTTGCATGACTTTGTCCTGCGAATAAAACAGGCAAAAAGACCCTAATAACCAATCGAAAAGCAGGCTCACTAAAGTCAAGGTACCTTCTCTGGAAATGGTCTGAAAATTTTCACTACGCTTTTGTGGACCCATAACACTGAGCCCTGGACTGTAAGTGACAGAAATACTGTCCTATTTAAGGATGCTATCATTGCATCAGCAATGGCACCCACAAGTTTGCATGTGCTATTTTATTCAATCCTCAGAACACTATGAATTAGGTATTACAGTACTGTCTTTAGATCAGTAAATTAGACCTCAGAAAAGTAGAGTGATATCCCTAGGTTTATTCACCCAATAAGTGGATGATGTGAGTTTCAAACACAAGCTTACTTTCCTTGAAAGCCCAGCATCTAACCATGTCTTCTACCGTCCCTTCGACTTTCACACATTATGGTTTTACCACTGTTTTCCTTTTCCTTGCAGACATATCCTTTTAAAAATCACTTAATACAAATGTCCTTTGGCTTGTTCCCAGTTTTAGTCAGTAATAAAATGAAAGGAACATTATGTAACTAAGGGAAAATAAATTTAAGGCTCTGTCTTGTGCAAATGCCTGTCAGTGTTTAAGTATTGTTTTAGAAGGTGAGTACTTTGAAAAATGTGTCTTGTCAGGCGTAGGTATGCATTCTCTTGTAATGCCTGGATATGCAAAGACTGTTGTGATAATGGGAACAATAATAAAAATAAAGCATGTCTTTGTGCTCACATGGAGGTTTGACAGGAATTCTGAGTTGTGGCTCTATAATATGGGCAACTTCTAGGACTGTAGTTTTCCTCTTTTTAGAGGTTAGCGTTGCCTAACAGTTGCATTTTATGATGATTTTTGGAAAACAAAAGCTGAGTTTTCATCAGTTCTTGTTGCCGCTCTTACCTTCTGTGAAGGTCAGGGAGCAAATGACCACTGACAAAGCGGCTTCTTGTTCAGATGAGACACCCACCACCTCTCCCAGCTCATCCCTGTGAGGAATAGGTGAAGGAAGAGTGGCTGGAGAGATTTTATTTTAAAAAATACTGACTATATTCAGTCTTTAGTGGTGCAAGATAAAGATCAGTAGATCACCTTTCTCTTATAGGTTGGAACAATAAAAGCTCTTAGGTCTTGTAGACCTGGGAGATTATTACTATTATTACTGCTGCTACTACTACTTTAAAACTATTATTATTTTTAATCATTATTATATGCCAATTATTATTATACTATGAAAATTTATAATATTGTGTTTTTAAATTCATGAAAATTCATATAGGTTAGAGTGAGTTCAATAATTTCCTAGGAAGAATAGCTTTACTGAGAAAGTTGTCATAGAAATATGACTGTAAGGTGTGTGTTTAAAAGCCATTTTCCAAAAACATCCTTTTATAAAATTTAATTGCAGATAATTCAGTTTTATTCACTAAACCGAGGACCTCAAAGTCCGTTGCTATCAGCAACTAATCAGGCTGGTGTCCACTTTTATAATTCACAAAACCCTGAAATGGTGTTTACTGGAAAGTTTCTTTTATTTACACTTTAAAGCTGTTTAGGTGGACTGTGTTCTTTCCGCCGCTTTCTAAGTTTTACTAGTCAGGTGTTACCATAATAATTATTCACAGGGCAGGTGGTCGGAGCTGAGGACCGTTCTGAAGGTGTAGACAGTGCCAACAACACTTTGAGACCCTTAAGTGGTATACATCCTACTGTAAGAGTAAGGGTGCGTTCTGCACACCAAAACCCTGTAGGGTTTATGGGGAATAGTATACCAGTTTGTTTCTCCATCTTTACTACTTTCACCCACAGAAATGATATATATTGGTAGTTTGGTGTCATCATAATGTCCAGCTGTTAGCAGCACATGGCTAGCTTTTCAGGTTTAAGCTTTAATTGCAAGAGAAAGATAAAAGTTCTAGAGGGAGAACATAGAAAAAGGTAATTGCTCTGCTAAGACCATAGTCTCACTGTATCTGCACATGACAAATGGTACTGCACGTTCCCATTCAGCAACACTGTCCCTTAGCAAGGCATTCATATCTATCCGAGAGAGGCGAAACTACAAAAGGCCCTTTTAATTTTCCTTCATTACATGTCATTGGCTCAATTAACCATTATACTTGTATATATGCATATATACAGGGAAATTCTAATAAATTACTGCTTCCTCATTCTTTGCTTCTCTGAAGATTTATGGCTGTTAGATTTAATTTGTTTGCCGTTCATAGCATTCCCCCTTTACAGCAGCATGCTTTTTTGAATCTGAACATTCTTCTGTGTTTGCCCCATTTCAGTATTGCTTACTAACATTTAATATATTTTGCTTTTTTTATTTTGCTGACAAAGTTGCATTGATGAAAGCTGACTTGCAAGGTAGATAGCCCTGTATGTCTAAAACAAGACTGAAACCCCGCACTACACAATGGAAACCCTCAAATAACATTTATTACACGTCCGCAGTAACTGTTATTTGGGTTTAGACTTCATATTTTTTTTCACTTCTTGAACATTGTGCAAGAAACTTCATTTTGTAGCATAGTTTGCATAAAGGCTTTCAGTCTTGACTATGTTTGTATAGTGATTGCCTTTAGTGCTTTGATCATACTTTTTTAGTTCTTTGTTTTTTGGTGTTCTACTTCTGACTCTTGAAAAACAGACTAGCATTCTTCTTACTTGTATGTTCGACGGGGGCATGCCATTTTATGGAGTTTTTCATTTTATGTTCAATTGCATGTGATCGGTAAAGCATGTGAAGTGATACTTGCCAACATACCTATCCAAAACACGCAACAATCATAATTTTGTCCATAGTTTGTGCCAAGAAAGCTTTTGGAACTTCTCGGGCATTTCTGCGTAACTCACTTTGGTTATTTTGCCAATCTTTACCTCAATTTCATGAAGTTATAATCTCCATTTCTCATGATGTCTTTATTCATTGGTCTGAAGTGAAGGAGATCCATTCATTTTCTGAAAACCAAATATTGACAGAGAACTATTGATCAGACAATGAGATTACCTGCCACCAGGACCACACCAGCAGCCACGCACTTGCTTTTCCCCTTTGTTGGCTTAGTTCATTGCTATCATGTATTTCTCCTGTTCTTGAAACTTAAGAAAAACCTTCATGTGACAGCCTCTTAGTCCTTAATTCAGGTGTGTGAACAATAACTTTCAAAACTAGTTTGGACCTGTAATTTGAGGTGTTGGCAACTACTATATGTGATCTAGCTAGTGCACAAAATATTGTGAAGTTGTTTAAAGAACCCAAGTTTCCTTTGGAATGTTTTTTAGGTCCCAGCACAACCTGCCAGGAGGACTCGTGCTCCAACCAGGGCGTGTGCTTGCAGCAGTGGGATGGCTTCAGCTGCGACTGCAGCATGACTTCCTTCAGCGGGCCGCTCTGCAATGACCGTAAGTACTGTCCAAAGACGGGGCAATGCTCTCTGCTGCGTCCGCTGCCGTTTGATATCCAGGGACTGGGTGTGGGCGTTCTTATCCGGCCTCGAATTCACTGCCAAGAGACACAGTTGTTTACGCAAAAAGGAAAATTTTCATGTATTAAACTGTTGTATAGGGATTCCATTAGCTAAGTGCTGTGATGGTAATCTTTTACTTTTCTATTGTTGTATTATTATTATTTCTATTATTCATGGTCATCTTGTGTGAAAGAACTTCCACATTTCCTGTATGGCAGTTCTCTTACAGTTTTTTTTTTCTAACAGTACAAATTGATTTATTTAAAAGACTTACAAAAAAAACCCACAACAAAATAGAGATTGTCCTTAAAGTGATTAATGCTTTGTTAAAGGTTAGGTAAGGTAAGAAGATAAATGGTATTGGTTATGTGAGCATCTATGCAGTTTTAGGACTTTAGATACAATGCCGCTGATGATCTATTTACTCAGCCGTCACACACTTGGGATGGTATCTAATGGAGCGGTGACTCATCCTCAGTGAACTCCGCGGTCAGATCCACTCACCGCCACCCCCAGGGCCGTCCTTTTCTATTTCTGTGGCCCCTGAAGACACCTGCAGGACCAAATCCCCATGGTCTTTCTCTGCCCCATTCTCTGCCCGTGTGATCGTCTCTCCACTGAGGTGCTGTCAGGCTGGCCGCAGGCTGCGGTCTCAGCTGGAGCTGTGTGACTAGGACGTTTGCAGGGGACAGCCTCGTTTCATGCCGCACGCTAGCCCTGAATGGGGTCTGCCTCTGCCCCTGTACAACAGAGTTGCTCACCTGCAAACACGAAGCAAGTGAGGGATTCAGCTTTGTCTTCAGCAGTACCATAGCTCACCGCTGGGTGTAAACTCCCTGTTCAGGGGATACCTCTCGACTCAGTTTTGAAACTTGATTTTGCTTTGTGTTTCGTGAGATGACACGTTGGTTGTGAATTTTGCGAATGGTTACAGGTCTTATGCTTTTTACTCATTCTACATCCATTCAACTGCACAGATGACTTTTATTTTAAAAAATACATTTAGTCATTATCTTTCAAGACTCGTCCTTGTGTTTTATCTATCTGTGAGTTCTTGCCCCTTTGGTTTCACAATAGAAGCGGGCCAATGAAACACAGCATTCTCACCGCATCAGCGTATCGGCATATTCTGCTAGTGCCTATTTGATATTATTATTACTGCTGTGAGGGGTCTGGGAGGGAATTTTATTTATTCATTGTTTATTTATTATTTTGTTTCCTTAACTTGCAAATAGGTCTTGCTTTACACAAATTAATCAAAATGCTAAAAGAATTTCCAAAGCAAGTAACATATTATATGCAAAGAATATCCTGACACAGCCTCCTGTTTATAGAGTGCATGCTTTATGTTGTAAACACTACAACATGTAAAGTTCTAGCATGCTGGGGCAGGGAATGTGATGATTGAATGTGTGTGCTTCACAGCAGAGGCTAGAGTTGAGTGGGATTTGACAAAAACCCAGAGTTTGTTCCTTTAAACTTTTGTCCATTTAGACTATTCGTCAGTGACTGGTATATCTCAGTATCAAAGCGGGGGGTCAGGCTAAAATATTCCACTGAACAGAGTTGTTTCAGATAAAATATAGTACTATTCTCCAGCTGTCTGAGGTTTTCACTCCAAAATATTGGCTATAGGAAGAAAACACAACAGATGCATATTAAAAGCCCAAACCGTGTTTGGAAAAAACCCTTTAATGACCATGCATCATTGATGGAGAAATATCTGATCTTCATTTTACAAATGTCATCTTCCCTAGAGTTATAGTAAACCCAAAGCAATGAAAATTTGCAAACAGTATTTCTACAAGTCAAATCACACTTCAAAATGATAAGTCCACTTTGGTTTACATAAATAACCATATGCAAAGACTTAATAAATAATAAATAAATAAATAAGTAAATGTAAATATATACACAAAAAACAAAAGCAATACTTAAACTTTGTAAATGCTTTAGTAACAACATGTGTCTACCTCTCCAGAGCAATAGCTTCTTGCATTTGTTCGTACTACATAGAAAATGCCATCAGTGTGTTTTCAAGGACAGCCAGCAGTCTAAAATCTGTTATGTTTTATTATGGCAAATTTATAATCCTGAAAGCAATCCTGACAGATGTATGCCTACATGTGGTAGTTGAGAGGGCTTTTTGGGTATGAAATTATTTTTTTATTTTGCTAAGAAATATTCTCTGCCAAACTTTGCTTAATCTAGGTTCCTTGTTTTACAAAACAGTTGCTATGTGGGTCTGTCAGCTCATGTGTCCTCATCTCCTTGTTAAATATGAATAACACGATTTTCTGTATGTATTTGCTAGACTTTTCCTACGGGAACATCAAGAGCCACCCTTAAGTATCATGCTGACTTCAGATCATTTTTTGCAGAAAATTATTTGAATGCTGCTCTTGGGTGATAGTGGTAATGGCAATGATAAGGCTATTTGTTATTTTCTTGTAAATAGATAAATGTCATTCAATAAATGTGTCTCCTGATACACCTTTTGCACAAATCAGCATTAAAATTACTTTGGAGTGCTCTCAGAATACATGCATTTTGATGAAATCATTACCTGTAACTGGGTTTTCTGGAAATGTGAAATTGGCTCTCTGATTTGCACATCCGAGTGTCTTGGTGATGAGAATGTGCAGGTAAAATTTATATTTGAAAGTAGAACTTATTTTTACATCCATCGTAATTTGTGGAAGGTAAAATAATAAGTGTTACTGTGAGACATACAAATTGAAAATGTGGTAATTGAAGTGTCTTGTCACATTTTCCCCACTTTTAAAATGATTAAAATGAATCTTATTTCTGAGTCTCACTGTTTTTCTATTGTTACACAAATAGAATTAGTATAATTCCTTGGATTTTTAACAAAAACACTTTGGGGTAGAGGTTGACTCTTTTTTAAATAAAGTCAGTCAGATCCTTTTATTCCTTAATGACATTTTGTTTCTGGCTCAGTTTTTTAATCTGTAAATTCTGTTACTGCAGCCTCCAACTTCGTAGGAAAAAAACAAACAAAGAACAAATACAGACAGTTCTTTTTAATAGGAGAAAGAATACACCACATTATAAAGAAGAACTCCTCCCAAAAATAGAACTTCTAAATGTCATATATCTGATAAGTTTAAAGGAGTGGTTAGCATAACTAGAAAACATTATTTATATTAGCCTGGAGATATAATTAACAGTGGGAAGATGGGAATACTTTATAGCTTGTAAATGTAATCTTGGATAAATCATACTAATTAAGTGAATAGAAAGGAATCTTTCAAAAAAAGAGGCACTTACTTAAAGAGATGCCAAAGGCTACGTTTAAAGAAGTGTGTTTGTGAAAAACCTTTCTTCCAGTAGAAAATAGCCATTTGAGTCATCTACTCAATAACAAAAACAACAGTGTGTGTGTGTGTTCTTTTTTTTTTTTTGGTTTTTCTCTGGTACCGGGAACCGAACTCATGACCTTGCGCTTGCCAGGCAGGCGCTTTTGCCGCTGAGCTAAATCCCCAGCCCCTTGTGTGTGTGTTCTTAATTCTTTAACTCCTCTTCCAAGTTACTACTAAATTTTAAGCCTTTACATCATTTCTGCAGCTTGTTGGAGCCTCTCCTTGGTTACCTTCCCCTTCCTTCTGCTTTCTCCTCTGATCATCCTGTGTCTTTACTAATTCCATTCTTCCTGTCCTCTGATTTAAATGTCGTGAGTTTCTTCTCTTAAACAGTGGTGATGTTTTTCCCCCTATGATTCCACTGAGTTTGTGCTATCAGCCATGGTTTTCCAACATGCACTTTCTGCCTTTGGTCTTATCCCATCTCACTGTGAGTCCATGTGCTTATTTCAGGGGTGGCGTTTCTTTTGGCTGTAAGTCCAGTGTTTTTCGTAGCCTGTTGAGTGCAGTTGGTAACAATGGGAGTTCACTAACCTAATGTTGACTGTACGCAAGAACCTTGCAAGATTTCTAGTATAGTTCAGCGGCTGACATTATTTTCTAGAATCAACTGTCAGGGGTTCATAAACCTTCACGATCAGATCCCAGCCTTCATTTCCGTGTGTACCTGTTGCGGAACCTTGTCCATATGCTGTCACTGCCAGTTTCCTCCTCATGGCTTTCTGCACACCACTGCCCTTGCCAGTTCCTCACCATGCACATGCCCATTTCCCTGCCAAGGGAATGCTGTCATTCCACCTGGAAGGCACTCTTTTCATATAATTTCCTTTGCAACCTCTGTTAAACTGTTTCATCTCATGGAAATTTCCTGGTTCTGTATGCTGGATATTACCTCTTCTTCATTTGAAATCTTAGGGAGACAATATTTTGCTCTCCCTCATGTATAGACATTTTGTGAGCTTTCTCTTTGGTGGACTATTTACTGGATGCTTACTGTATCCCAAAGCCTATGCTAAGGTTATACATTTTACACCAACTCGTCATTATCAAACAAGTGTGTTAACCAGTAACCCCATTCTGCTCTTACCCGGTGGTCCAGAGAGGATGTGACCATATTAGCTAATTTAGTGCCATCTTGGAGAGGCTGAGTATGGCTATGATCTCACGGAAAGTAGTGAACATAATAACATGGTCACATTACATCCATATGGAAATGTAGTGTGCTGAATTTACAGTTCAGCCTCGGCAGTGTCTGTTACCGTACAGGAGTAATATGTCAGAGTGCTGTTATTTTGGTGCTAGAGTTTAGGAGAATGTGGGCTCTGCTACTAAAAGATTATTTTCAAAACTCTAAACTCTGCCAAAGGAAAATCTTTCTGAGAGGAATTTATTGTGTCTTTTGTGTAGGAATTACAGATATTCACTGAAACAAAGATGGAAGACACTGGACCGAGGTTTCTTACCATGGCATTTAAGAATATCTTAAATTTTGCATCTTGTCTTCTTTTGTTGTTTGAAAAGAGAATCCAATATGCAGTGTCTGAGCATCAAT